GGCCTGCTGTATTCATCCAGCTCTACACCTTGTTATCTCAGATTCTCCAGCATCTGCAGTCCCTACTATCTCTTATACCCTAACTAGTCTACTATAGATACCAAAATGAATGTGTAACTAAACTTGTTTTATTTCAGTGCTGATTCTAAACACGAAAAGTAAAAGTTTACATATCTGTATCATACCTATGACAAGCTCAGGATGTACATACTTTACTTTTAGAATGAGGAATAAAAGCCGACCAAGACATGGAGGAGAACTCCACTGCTCTTAAGGTGGTAGAGGGTTTTTTTAAATGAGGGAAAATGGGCCTCAATTTAACCTCTCATCTGAAACCTGAGACAGTGCAGCATTCCCTCAGTACTGCACTGAAGTGTCAGACTAGGTGAAGTCAGAGTTCAGCACAGAAACAGACCCTTCGGTCCAATGTGTCCACACCAACCAGATGTCCCAATCCCTAGTCCCATTTGCCAGCATTTGGCCCATATCCTCTAAATCCTCCCTATTTATATACCCATCCAGATATGTTTTAAATGTTGTAATTGTACCTGCCTCCACCACTTCCTCTGGTAGCACATTCCATACATGCACCACCCTCTGCATAAAAAAAGTTACACCTCATGGCCTTTTTTTAATCTGTCTCCCCTCACCTTAAACCTATGCCTTCTAGTTTTGATTGATTGATTGATTTATTGTCACATGTACTGAAATACAGTGAAAAGCTTTGTTTATGAGCAGTACAGGCAGATCATAATAAGCAGAGGATGTACAGATCAAAATGACTTAGAAAGAGGCACACAGGTTACATTGCATAGGGTGTGCACTAGGCGAGATCAATATTAGCAAGATCAGCGTTATCTGAGGCAAGAGAGTCCATTCATCAGTCTGATAATGGTCAGGTAGCAGCTGTTCCTGAGCCTGCTTGTGTGTGTGTTCAGGCTTCTGTACCTTCTGCCTGATGGGAGAGGTTGTAGATCAATACCGGGGTACAGTAGGTCTTTGATGATGTTGGCAGCAGCAGCGAGCCGTGTAAATGGAGTCCATGGATGGACATCCGTGATGGTTTGGGCTGTACACACCACCTTCTGTAGTTTCTTACAGTCCTGGGCAGAGCAGTTGCCATCCCGGGCCGTTATGCACCCAGACAGTATGTTTTCTATGGTGCTTCTATAAAAGTTAGTGAGGGACCTTATGGACGTGCCAAATTTCCTGAGCCACCTGAGGAAGAAGAGGCTTTGTTGTACCTTCTTGACTGTCGTGTCTACGTGGGAAGTCTAGGACAGGTTGTCAGTTATCGTCACTCCGAGGAACTTGATGCTCTTCACTTTCTCAACCTCAGTTCTGTTGATATAGATGGGTGGGGCGGGGGGCATTGTTTTGCACCCCCCCAAACAGAAAAAATAACCTTGTCTATTCACCTCTCATGATTTTATAAACATCTATAAAGGTCACCCCTCAGTCTCCGACACTCCAGGGAAAACAGCCCCAGCCTATTCAGTCTCTCCCTATAGCTCAAACACTCCAACCCTGGCAACATCCTTACAAATCTGTTTGGCACCCTCTCAAGTTTAACAATACCCTTCCTATAGAAATATGACTAGAATTGTATGCAGTATTATAAAAGTGGCCTCACCAATGTCCTGTACACCCTCAACATGACGTTCCAACTCCTATACTCAATGTTCTAACGAATAAAGGCCAGCATGCCAAATGGTTTCTTCACCACCCTGTTTATCTGTGACTTCACTTTCAAGGAACTTTGCACCTGCACCCCTAGGTCTCTTTGTTTGGCAACACTCCCCAGGGCCCTGCTATTGACTGTACAAGTCATGCCCTGGTTAGTCTTACCAAAATGCAACACATCACATTATCATAAATATCACATCTATTACTCCTCAGCCCATTGGCCCATCGGATCAAGATTCCATTGTACTGAGATAATCTTCTTCACTGTTCACTACACCACCAATTTTGGTTTCATCTGCAAACTTACTAACCATACTTCCTATATTCACATCCAAATCATTTATATAAATGATGAACAGCAGTGGACCCAGTGCCGAACCTTGTGGCACACTGCTGGTCACAGGCCTCCATTCTGAAAAACAACCTTTCACCACCACCCTTTGTCTCCTACCTTCAAGCCAATTTTGTATCCAATTGGCTAGATCCCCCTGGATTCCATGTAATCTAACCTTACTAACTAGTATACCATTCGGAACATTGTTGAACACTTTATTGTAGTCCATCTGGACAATGCCTACCGCTCTGCCTTCGTCAACCTTCTTTGTCACCTCTTCAAAAAACTCAAATTAGAGAGACATGATTTCCCACACGCAAAGCCATGTTGACCATCTCTAATCAGTCTGCCTGTCCAAATACATGTAAATCCTGTCCCTCAGAATTCCCTCCAGCAGCTTACCCACCACTGATATCAGGCTCACCAGTCTATAGTTCCCTGGCTTTTCCTTACGGCCTTTCTTGAATAATGGCACCACGTTAGCCTCCAATCTCTAATATATATCTAATTAATAGTTACTCAATAATATATTCTGTTTTCAACAGGAGAACAGTCGATTACAGAAGGAACTGTTGGAGACGGTGGAAAAATTGACTGAATCTGAGAAATTGATTTCCAGATTACAAAAGGACCTTGACTACGTGCTAAAGGAAAAAGCAAGTTTCACAATAATATGTTTGGAATATGCTTGACTTTTCTTCACAGGATTGTTTATGTTAAACGTGGGCAAAAGGCATCCAGGAAACTAGGCTTTTGAGAAATACAGAATGATTCTGTGATATTGCCTTTATATGTTGCAGAACATGGGCCATTGCACAGTGCAGAGTGTTTCAGGAACACTTTTCAGGTCAAGTAGAATTGGAGGTAGAGCCTCAATTGGGTGGGAGAGTGCTCTAATGGAAATAGTGGAGACGGTGAGTAAGTAGCTTAAAGGAGGTGTGATTGAAACAAGAAGGAGCAGGAAAAGGGGGAGCAGGAAATTGGGTCAAAGGGATGGTGAAGGGAGCCAAAGTAGGGGGTGGGAAAGAGAGATCCAATCAAAAAGGGAGGATGTGTTGAATAATGGACCAAATTATTTGCTCATAATACTGTAACAGTCAGTATTTGCCATCATTATTCCTGTACACCCTTGTGTCTATGGTATCACGACCTGTAGAATGCTACACTTCCATGTTGAGAATTGATGATAAAATAGGGAAAAACAATTGGTGAGATAAAATGTTTAAATATTTAGAATGCACAGCAGTTCAGAGTTATATGAAAATGATTTATATGAAAAATGATGGTCTATCAATTATGTTTTGAGTCTCGTGAGGTACACTATATTCTTCTCTCCCTCACATACACCCATTTCCTCCCACTCCCACCCCACAGTTACAGGGAACTAAATACCCTTTCTTTTTGTCCTAATTTGTGCTGTTGTCCTTTGTCCCCTATCTGTATTTCAGTTTGGAGCATGGGATCATCTGAATGTGGAGATCATTGGCCATGAGCAGAGGTTCACAGAGATTATAATGGAATATGAACAGCAGTGCAGGGTTAGTATTGGTCCAAAAAATCTTTTAAATACATTACATTGGAAGGACTCTTGGGCTGGCTCTGACTTCAATTTACTACCCAGTGATGACGGAGAAAATCTGGATAGGGACTGGATCAGGCTAGGATTCCACTTTAACAGCAATGAAAGACTGTTGGTGTCTGTAAAAGGTCCCCAGCAAATATGGGGAGGAAACTGGAAGTGAAGATGAAATTTGATTTGTTTCAGTATTTTCATGTGTTTCTTAAAATTTCCGATGTTTGTTGAACTTGCTTGCCAACTCCATTGAACTTAATTAATATGTTTTTTTTAGAATTAATTCTCTCTATTTTGATTTCCATCATTCTGCATTGTTAATTAACTGACAGATTTAAATATGGCAGGCGAGCTTGTGTATCAGGGAATAGATCCTGCAGCCTTGGCTGCTGTTGCATTTCAGTTTATTGTCTCCATTTCTCTTGATATTTGTTAAATATATTAACCTCAGTTTTAAATTTTTTAATTGAACCAACCTCACTAGCTTTATCCGGTGGGGGCAGGGTGTATCAGTTCCAGATATCCTCTATCCTGAAAAATGTTTCCTGCCATCACCCCTGAACAAATGGTCTCTGTTATGGGGCCGTTGTTCTGGACTCCTCTCCCAAAGTAAATAGTTTCTCTTTATTTACCCGATTTGAAGCACTTAATCATCTTAAGGACTATCTGACTGGTGTGTAGCAATAACTATCTGGAGACACGAGTAAGTGGTGAGAATGTGGAACTTGCTACCACATTTAGTGGTAAGATGACAGACATTTTAAGGAAAATGGCTTATATTTATATGTTGCCTTTTCAATGCCTCTTCTCAAGGAACAGCCTGTTCATTTTAATAGGTAGCACCTTTACATTTATTTTCTCTGACCATGGTATCCTAAAGTGATGACAGGGAAAACCTGCATAGTACCTTTGGGTCACGCTTACAGGGAACATTGGTGTTGTTATTTAGCACATGGGGTTAAAGGGATGAAAGGATATGGGGAAAATCTGGGATCAGGCTATTGAGTTGGATGATCAGCCATGATCATAATGAATGGTGGAGCAGGCTCAAAGGGCCGAATGACCTACTCCTGCTTCTGTTTTCTATGTTTCCTGTTTATTGCAGTAAAATGTCCCAAGATGCTTTACTGGAACATGGTGCCACATTTTGTGTGTTTGATAAAACTACATGAGATTTTGAGACGATTTTAGGAGGACTTGGTCAAAAGGGAGATTTTAAAGAACATCTTAAATGGAGGAGAGAGATGGGAATGTGGGGAGACTTGGGGAGGGAATTACAGCTGCTATGGCATGACAGTGAGTAGTGAATAAGTTAATATCAGGGCTGCGCAAAGAGTAGAATGGAAGGAGAACAAAGATCTTTGGAGGGCTTCATCACTGGAGGAGGTTACAGAGATAGAGGGTCCAAGTTATGGAGAAGTCTCAAAACTATGTTGAGAATTTTAGAATTGTACTGTTGCTGGATCAGAAACCAATATAAGTCAGTGAGTACAAGATAGTGGGAGGTCTAGTTACGAATTAGAATGTGGCAGCAGCAGTTTGGATGAATTCAAGTATATGGAGATTGGAAAGTTGGGAGGCTGTTCAGGAATATATCAGATAATCCAGTCTAGAGGTAACAGTGGCATGGATGAAGGTTTCAATGGCATATAAGCTGAAGGTGATGTTAGAAAGGTGGAGGTAGGTGATCTTGGTGGCGAAGCATTCATATTGATTGTTCATCTCAGCCTCAAATCAGATGCAACAAGGGTGGGGCTTGTGATGAGGGGGCTAATTATGACTGATTTGAAAAGGATAGGGACAGTAAATTATCTGAGGACAGAAAACCTTGAAACATATCAAATAACTTGGGGCCAATAGATAAATTGGGCAGTGGGAAGTTTGGTGGGGATCAGGTTGAGGAAACTAGCAGTTAGTCTCACGGATGAGGTGAGCTCAGAGACAGCTTGAGGGGAAAGTAGGGAGAAATGACAGACAGAACGAGTTAGTGCAGCTTCGAGTTAGTGCAGAGGGAAGCTAAGGCAAGGTTTTGCTTAGGAAAAAGGAAGAAAACAACAAAGGCAGCTGAACATCAATTTTGCTGACAAAAAGCTTTATGCGGGGAAAGTTTTTCACATGGAGGATAGGTGAGTGGAGGTGGTGGAAGCAGGCACATTAGCATTTAAGGCGTACCTTAATAGACACATGAACGGGAGGCGAATGGAGGGAGAGAAACCACATATGGGTAATAAGTAGTGGGGCCAAAGGGCATGTTCCTGTGTTGTATTGTATTGTATTGCAATTGTTGAATGCTCAATCAGTATGTGAGAAAAATAGAAATATACAGCAGTAAGGTTAGTAACTTGGGTCCAGTGGATCCAATGCCCTGTTTTTGTTTGGTAAAATTCTATCTAATGTGTGTGAATGAGTAACAAATTGCAGAACTGTAAAGATCCCTTTCTGCAAGCCTTGGAGTTCAACTTGTACTAGGTATTCATTTATTTAATTATGTTAATGAAGCAAGTCTAATAGCAATAGTAAATTTCTACATGCAGATATCTACCTTTTTCATTTGTCTATTTATTCATTAACTTTTCAGAGTCTATGCTCTTTATCTGTTTTTTAAAGCACTTTAGTTGGTACTGAACAAATACCTTCCTATGCAATATTATGAAATTAATGCCAGTCAGTGTGGCTGGTAGAGTGTTGATTGGAATTAAACACCTCCAAATCTGATCATTGTGACATCTTATTTGAGGGAAGTTCAGTTTCACAAGGAGTTGATGTTGGTGAGGCCCATTTAGATCATGGCTGTTCCTAAAATTTGGCTTGTCAATGTAACTCATTTAAAATAAAACCTTAATACCATTCAACCTAAGGCATATTTTTATTGTCATTTGTAAAAATTAATAATCCTGCTTCTAGTTTTAGGTAAATCCTTCAGTCAAGTGATCACAAAGTATTACTGATCTAGTTGAGCCACAATACTATTGTTAGTGGAAAGTAATTATTGTTGATTTCATTCTTAAACCCCTCTTTTTGTCTGGATAAGGGAAAGGATTAAATTGTACTTCATATAAATTCCACAACAAACAATGTCTCTTTATAAAAGTAGGCAGTAGCTGTACTCACTTTGTCCACTGTCTCTCTTTATTCTAATGCCTTCCTTTTGGAATTACTAGAGAGTGAAGGTGAGCATTCCTCAAATTAATTTTTTTTTAATGAATGACATTTTCTGTATTTTTAAAATTACAAATCAAACTTAACATATTAAAGTATATTCTTGAATTTGTTTTGTTCATTGTTCCTAATCCTTCCCCATTTCCAGTACCCCATGTAAAAATTAAGTGAAGATGTCAGAGAGTAGCCTAATAAACCCATGTCCATTTAAAGTGATTATCTTCACCTCAGTCTTGCCTTGAAACTAAGTAAGTCAATGCTCAAATTTTTTTGACTTTCCAATTTGACACATCAACAATACATTTCAGCAGGCCTTCATCTCTTTCCAATTACACAGTAAAGAGTGAAATAACTCCACAGATGCTGGTTCACCATTTACCATTTACCATTTACCATTTACCATTTACCATTTACCAT